GGTCAGAGGGAGAAGTAGACTCCCTGCTGAGCAGGGGGCCTGATGTGGGACTCAATCCCGGGACTCCAGGATCATGACCTGAGCCGAAGGCAGTCGCTTAACCAACTGAACCACCAAGGTGCCCGTCAGCCTATAGGGTTTCTGTAGGTAAAACCCAAGAATGTGTGGGACAATGCTAAGATTGCAGCCCCAGGACTATCTGATTCCCAGGCTAGCCCACATTCAGCCTCCAGCAGTTCTAGTGTGTTCTGTCCAGGTGAGCAAATCTCAGCTGTGACTCTCCAGATTCACCTGTCTCTCCAGACTTTGAGGTTGCTCTTTGCCCTACACCCTCAACTCCCTGGTGGCTGAAAGAAAAGCTGTTGATTTTCCATTTGTTCAGCTTGTTCTTGTATGAACAGGAGTGACAACTTCTACGCTGTTTATCAGGGATGAAACCTCATGTGTCCTCCGTATAATTTTAGTCCTTTCCAAATTGTTGAAATATGTTTTATAGCCAAGGATACAGTCCATCCTTGAATGTCCCATGGACATTTTTGGGGGGTGGGAAAGTATATTCTGCTGTTGTTGGGCGGAGTGTTCTATATACATCAATTAGATTCTTTGGTTCAATTGAGTTGTTTGGTTTTTCCGTACCTTTGCTGATTTTCTGTCTGCTAGTTCTGTCAGTTGCTATGAGTGGGATGTTGAAGTATCCACTCTAATTGTGGATTTGTCTATTTCTCCTTTCAGTGCTGTTATTTTTTAAACAGCTTTAATGAGATGATTCACATATCATACAATTTACCTGTTTATACAATTCAGTAGTTTTTACTATATTCATGGATATGTGCAGCCAGCACCACAGTCCATTTTAAAATATTTTTCTCACCCTACAAAAAACCTTGTACGCTTGAGTTATCACTCTCAATCCCCCCATACCCAGCATGAAGCAAGTACTTACTTTGCCTCTAGAGATTTCTCTGTCCTGGTCCTTTGGCTAGGGGGAACAGGCTTTTCTTGGAGATTTTTTTTTTTTTTTTTAGCCTGTGCCTGTTGGTGGTTCTGAGTTTCTACAAGCATTCTATCTAGCTATTGGGGAGGCAGTAAGAAAACCTAGGGAACTCACCACTGCTGTGTCGCCCCTCAAGTCCCAAGGTCCCTAAGCTGTCCACCTTTTTTCTGTTCTTCAGAGCCTTCCTATACTTGTTTGTTGTGTTATGGCCAGTTTATTGTGTTATAAAGTAAGAGGAAGGACCTGGAAGAACTGGACTACTCCATCTTGGCAGAACCAAAAGTCCCCACCCAAATACATTTTGCCCCGAAAATCCAGAGGGACCCACAGTGTGTGTCAGTTTCTTCATAGTGCAGTTCCAGATGTCACTCTTCTGAAACTTTACCAATGCAGCAGACACCTGACCTTTCAGAGGATTTGGAGGATTTCTCTCTCACCTCTAGTAGGCGTGTGTCATATTAAGTATCAAGTGTGTGTGCTACTTGCCCTCATCGATACATACTTTTGTGTCTTGGTGAAGGAAATGCCTTCCTGGATCTCCCAAAGGTTTTCAGGAGGTGGCTGAGCAAGTTGCACCACATTGGATCCACTTCAAAGTTCCCATTTCTCTAAATCTTTGATCTCTTCCCTCTAGAGTGTGCAGTGGGAGTTTCAGCATCGCTGTTCCCTTGCCTGTGGGCCTTTACTGACTCAGGACTTCTGTCAACCTTTACAGGTGCTCAGGCTAACACGTTAAATCCTGAGGCATATGTGAACACTCTCGTTGGCCTGATCCAACCTTAGATTTAGTCTTGCTGGCTAATTAGAATCCATTTGCATGCTTGCTCTCCAGGCTCCTGCTAATAAAATTTGGCAAGATCCTGCCACTTCTTGGTGTATGTTCTCTCCCCCAGTAGCAGGCCTTGCAATGAATTCTCTGGATCATGCTGGGATTTTACACCTTTCATGGCCCTAAAGACAGTGACTGTTGTTGTTGGTGGGTTCTGAAGAGAATAGGCATTTCCTTTTTAGGTGAACACCCCAGATGAAGTCAGTGAAATATTGTTATGCAAGGAAATGCTTGTTGTGTCAGAAGGTAAGAAAGGCTGTTTCTGATGTGAAGAAATATTTAGAGATATTAGAAGTTCAAGGTTCTTAGCTTTGTGTCTGGACAGAGCTGTGAATTTCAAGTCTCAAGGTCCTACCCCTTCCCAGCTCGCACCTTTACCTTAGTATAAGAGACTCCGCATAAGGGTATTCTTACCCAGATGGCATGGGTTCTGTACCTTGTATGTTCAGGCTTCAGACATGTCCGTCCCATAGTTTCACAGAATAATTCCTTTAGCCACCACAGAAATGTTGATTCTCTACCTATGGCTTGAGTTGAGAGTTCAAGCCACTGCACTTAACTGGGGGTGGGGATGGAGATGGGGGCGGGGGAGCGATCATCTCATTAGCCGTCAGAAGAAAGCATCTCATGCACAATCTCTGAATTCACTGTGATGCCGTAACAATCAAGTACCACAGCCGCTTGGCCTCCCAGCGCCTTACCCTCTCCCTTGGCAGTCTGCTCAAGTGACACTTTTGAGTGTTCGTGATGCCACACCACACTGCATGCTAGCAGTGTCCCATTTTTCCCTAGTAAGAAGGCCATTCATGCACTGACCAACCCAGTTCCAGAATTCCATCTGGATGGACTGTTTTCTTAGGCCCCTTCTTGTAACACTTACTAAATCAGTTGGGAAACTGGCTGGAAAACACACATTAGCTGGGATTTTGAAGAGAAAAGAATGGAGAGGGACTATTTGCAGAAGCTGAGGCAGAATTCAGAGCACCCACAAGGATGATAAAGCCCCTGGAAACTTACAACAGTAGGAAGCTTTACCATCCTTACCCTTTAGGCCTGAAGGACAAGGGGCTCTGGAGGCTGCTGAGAACCAGAGCCAACAGAAGGACTGCCCAGTAGGAGCTCTAGTCAGAGAGGTAGAGATGGAGTACAAATACTCAATCTTTCCACAAAAGCAAAGAGAAAACCAGCAAAAATGGTCACAATCAAATTTTCCAGAACTCTGGAAATTAACAAAAGCCTTAAACAGCAGTCTGGCATGCATTTACTCAAGAAGAGTGGTGAAATCTCAGAACAGAGACCTTTGTGATGTGATAAGCTCTCATAGCCCCATCTTGTAGTCTTAACCTTGAAAAGTGAGAATTTGCAATCACAGGTAAAACCAGCCTTCTGGCGGCAACTGAAAAGGGGCAGAAGGGGGCTAGGGCTTCTTCAAAGGTCCATGGCCAGAGAGCACTGTCCTTGTCCTATCTGGTGGTTCACTGACAGCCTATCTTTATTTGACTTCAGTCAAAGCTCACCAGTGCAATAAGCCTCTTCTCTGAGGGTGTTTGTCAAAAATTGTCAAACCAGTTATAGGCAACTGTTTCACATCACAGCTGCCAGAGGCAGTGAAGAACTGTTGGGGCCAAAAATAGACTAACCATAAAGCTGAAAAGGGGAATTGGGGAAATGAGGGTTCTGTAGGGGCTTTAAGAAGCACTAACATATCCCTGGGAGTCTGGGTGGCCATATGCATGCATACAGGGCTGAGCATGCTCAGGGAAAAGCCAGGAAGGCCCTGAGCTCTTGCTGATGTTGCGGCCCTTTGCAAGCAGGAAGGCAGGGTGGGCACCACCCAGCTGGGTGCTGAAGTGTTACTGGAGCCGTACAAGAAGGGCCACCCAGGAGAGCGTTATCCTCCCGTCAGCCAAAACTAGCTGGAAGCCAGCTGGTAAGGGAATCCAGGATTGACCCAGAAATACAAGACAAAAGTATCCACAGAGGTAGGGCTAGCTCTTGCCTTGAAGGCATTTATCCATCAAGATGAAAATGGTAGCAAAGCTTCTTTTGGAAGACTGTCAGAGCGTGCGCAGGGAAAAGTAAATCAAAACCCACAGAGAAACAAAATGCCCAGTGGTTGCCAGAGACTTGGTGGGGAGCGGGTTGAGGAGGGGGGCGGTGGCAGTTGGCTGCAAATGACAACAAGGAACTTTGGGGAATAAAAAATATTTCCTATCTTGATTTTGGTGTTAAATAATTGCATATTTTTCAAATCTCAACCGTGTACTTAAAGCAGGTGAATTTTCTCGTATGTACGTTAATATACCTCAATTAACTAGACTTTAAAAAGAGGAAGAAAAGAAAAATACTCAGCTTTTCTCTCTTCCTGCCCTTCATCCTCTGCTGACCTAATCCGGTCAAAAACTACCCATCAGGCTGCTTTCCTGATAGGATCTGTAGAGGTGACCTTCTTGGGCAACAGAGAAAGGCAAAGACTGGATTAAGGGGTGGGGAAACAGAAGACAGTCAGCACAGGAGGTCTTGTGGAAAACAACAGTAAACTATTTTCTCCTCACCAGAGGCTAGGACTTCTGGTGGGAAAACCAGGCCTCTCGTAGCTGGAGCTGTCCAGAGTGGGTCAGAGGGCTCATGACTCAGTATGGAAAGGTGCCAAATGGGAGTTTGAGATGGGATTCCTCCGCTATCTGGGAAGAAGACCCTCAAATTCTCTTACTGAGATTCTGAAATTACCTCTACAAACAATCCTGTGCTGGATAAAGTCTTTAAAATCATGTTGTTGTTGTTGTTTTTTAAGTTCTTCAATAATAGTAAGTGTTCTAGCTAAATTGGTGATGTTTTCTGTGATGTGATTTTTTAATAATGTATTTCAAATTCTATTATTGCATTGTTGGTTCTAATAAGCAGAATTCAGACCATAACATGGAAAAAGCTTATTTTTTTTCCCCTAGCTGCCCACTTGGGGGATATTATGTAATTTGAAAACCGCTAATAAAGTGAGTCCACGCATACCTCACCTGATTCCAGCGCTCAGTTTTAAAAGGAAATTTACATTTCTGTGGTGTACTTTTTTTGGCCATGCCTAATTCTTTAACAAAGAAAAAGACTGCCTCTAATGGAAAGAATCCTGAGCCTTGAACCGCGGCCTCACAGTGTTCTCTCCCTTTTCTCCCTTTCCAGGAGGACACCGGTTAGTTTTGTGGCTTACTGCTGCTCCGCCCGGTGCCTGCAGACGTTTGACCTACTGAGTTGATAAACACTCGAGAGCCTCAGGAGTTTTGCCAACTTGACACTGCAGTTGCCTGCACATCGCACACTGTTTGTGTGGCAGAGGGACGGGACAGCCCAGCCTAGCAGAACAGGCCCTCACACCCTGTCCTGTCAAGTGCGGGGCGGGGGGAATGCAGAACTCTCTGGAAATGTCATGAGTGAGCTTCAGAGCTGACATGCCTTCACCCTTCCCCCCAAGTTGGAATATATCCCCCCCCAAATTAAGGACCCTTTGTCTTCTGTGTTTTTCTTTTCATGTGAGTGTGTCTCATAAGCGAACTATTTAGTGTGATGTGCCTCCCCAAATCCTGAAAGCCAAGTTTCTGTTCCCTGAAGAACTCTAATTTGATAACAGAGCCAAATTAACTTTTGAACACATATACCTTCAAGATACTTTTATTCTTTTCCTCTTTTTTTTTTTTAACCCAGGGAATTATTTCCCCCAGAGATTATCCTCCCATGTTTTTGCCAAAGTTCAGCAAACTCTATGGCCTCCATAATATTGAATAACAGGCCCTCGGAGGGGATGGGGGGATGGGGGGAGGGAAAGAGCCTGAGTTGGCAGCCAAGTTAGACTCCAGTGGAGGCCCTGCTAGGGTCCTTGCATACACCCTCCAGAAAGTTACAACCCTGTTTATAAGTTTTGCAGCAGATTAAGAGAGCTTTGTGAGGGTTTTTAAATATAAAAATGTAGATGATAAATGAAATACACTCTTATTTTGAAAGGCTATTTCGAAATGATTTTTTTTTTATATGAGAAGAGTTAGAGGAATATTTGAGGCTTTACAAGATCTGATCTTCTTTCTAGATTTAAACATTTTTCTGGCTAATGAGAAAGGGAGAGATAAAACACATCAAAATATGTCCTCCGGTGCTTCTTCCTAGATGGGCTTATGATTAAATTTATATTAACTTTGAAATATTTTTGTTACATGTGAAAAACAGGCCCCAGCTACTTCTGCTCCCAGTTTTTCACCAGGTGATTCTAAGTATAACCTGTGCACATTTATTTAAATACCTGGTGCCTTAGATTATCCTCATTTTGACCCTAGATTTCTTACGTGCTTAACACACTATTGTCCAGATATCACTGAGAAAATACAGAAAAACTCGGGTCCAAATTCAGCCTTGGACTTTAAAAAAAAAGACCATAAATGGAAAGTCTGTGAGCTTATTCTCTGACAGAAGAAATGCTCTTAATGGAAGAGCCACATATTTGCTCTTCCTTTGAAAGGAAAGCATTTTAATGTGGCTTTGCTGCCAGATGTTCATCTGGTTGCTGCGAAGCGATTCTTTTTTAATTTTAATTATACAGAGTTTTCTCTAGCGCAGAACTAAAAGGGGAACCAAGAAGACTTACTTGGTAGGAAAATGATTTCCAAAAAATTTCAGACTTGTCAAAAACTCGGTCTCTGGAATTTTATTAGCTGCCCTAAATCTGTAATGCTAAGCTCTAACAGTGCTAAAAATCCTACACGGTTCCTGACAAATGTGTGATCTTTTCAGTCACACCACCTGCTGCCCGGAAAGCAGACTCCCTCCCCGTAGAATGGTGAAGACAGAACGTTACCGTGTGTTCCCAGTGCATTTCCACTGTTCTTCCTTCCTCTTGTCCCTTTCATAACTTGGCCTGGTCAGCCCTCACATTTCAAAGGCTTTTAGTATAATAGGAACTGAAGATCTATATCAAAATATAACACTTCTTTCATCTTTGGGATAACTGAAGTTTTAGCGTAACCTCTACATGGATATAAGTTGGCAGCGGAAAAATGCGGCATGAAACTTGACAAATGTCACTGGGGCTGAGTGGCAGCTGCCTTCTCATTTAAGTGACAGTAAACACACCGCAACATCTTCTGTTTGACCCTTGACGATCCTATGTCTTAAAAACGGAGCTCTGAAAGGCGCTAACCCAATGTTCAGGATGTTTGATGAGGTAAGGATATGTAACACTTCTGCCTTAACTTGTTTGAAACTTTACAAAGACGCTCAAACAGTCCGAGCATCCTCTCTGTACCCATTATGTATGGCGCGCATCCCCCAACCTTTTAGGGCAGTCTCAATCTCAATCCTCGGTGCGGCCCCCAGCCTAACTGATGAGAAATGGGATTTGTGATCTGGCTTCTTCCTTGGTGCTGTTGAGTATGAAAAATTTTGTATCGCAGTCGCTGATGTCATTCTGAACCCTCTGATACTCTAAAGGAATGTTGGAGACTGGAGAAAAGTGGCCCATGTGCTACGTCTTTGAATTGAGTCCAGAGCTTTGCAGAAAACTCTAAAGTTAGTATGTATGTGTTTTCTTAAGTAACAGGTACACTAGGTGGAGAAATACTTTATGCAATTATAGGAATGCAAAAAAAAAAGTGACTTACTTGGAAAATATAGTCTGTTCGGGTAAGTTTACCTCAGTAATCTGAGGTGTGGCTCCACGTGGGGCTCAAACTCATGACCGAGATCAAGACCCGAGCTGAGGTCAAGAGTCAGACGCTTAACCGACTAAGCCACCCAGGTGCCCCTTACTGGTAAATTTTTAAATCTAGGATACCCTGATGGGTATAGGCCTTCTTATGACACAGTGCAAAGCGGGTCCATTTTAAGTGTATTACCCTATCAGTGTTCCTCAAAATGCCTAAGTGTTATCACACCAAAATCCTTGATTACATAACATTGTGTAGATGAAATGTTGCATCTTCAGTGAATAAAATATATATTTTGAGCACACTTTAAAAACTTTTAGGGGCGCCTGGGTGGCTCAGTTGGTTAAGCAGCTGCCTTCAGCTCAGGTCATGTTTCCACAGTCCTGGGATCGAGCCCCACATCAGGCTCCTTGCTCTGCGAGGAGCCTGCTTCTCCCTCTGCCTGCCGCTCCCCCTGCTTGTGAGCTCTCTCTCTCACTATCTCTCTCTGTGTGTCAAATAAATAAATAAAATATTTAATAAATAAATAAAAAATAAATAAATAAACAATAAATAAATAAATAAGTAAAAATTTTTAAAACAGAAGAGCTCTGGCTGGTGGATGAGCCACTCAGGTTAATAGAGAACAGTGATGACCTCCTTTGTTATCTGGCCCTTCTCTTCCAGAAAAGTGAGGTTCACATTAAATATCTTGGTCAACGTACTTACCACTCCCTAAAACCTTTCATATCTGGCTTGTCTGACTAATGTGCATCTCACTTCTTTTCCACATTTAGCATTATGAATTAAAATGTTTACAGTCAGAAAAATGACTTGAACAGCAGTTAGCTATGAGGCTTTGCATATAGGTTTTCCTAAAATACATACCTATTTTGTAATCTCTGAGGACTTTGACAGCCAGCTTAAAAAATTATTAATAGTAAAATTAGGTTTCTCTTTCCTGAATTGAAAAATCAAACATTTTTATCTTTACTGCGGAAAGATTAAATTGATGCATTACTTTAGCAGAAGTCAAAACATTTTTATTCCAATGATTAATGAACATGGATTCCTAACTGGGCCAACACTAATGCAACCTGATGTAATTAAATATTGAGATGTAAATTCATTTCACAGACTTGTAAACACACTCTTTTGAGGAATCTTATTTAAAAACGTATCCTTACATAACCTTGGCCATTTTACTATGCTTTTATTATTTTTGTGGTTTCCACTGACTCCTGCTTACTCCTAATGAGGTTCTCCTACATTTCTCCAGGAATTCAGTGAATATCTTGCTTGCCTTCTCTTAAACAGAGGGAATTTTTTTATAAAGTCTGTATTTTTGGAAAATACCTCCATGTCTATCTACAAATCATTCAAGTCTCACTGTCCCTACCCAGAAAGTACCTCCCTGTGTCATCAGCTAATAGAGCTGAGTGTAATGCAAATGTCTCTAAAAAAGGGACCATCATAGCTCAGTGACTGGTATCCTTGGTTAGGAAAAGAGATTGCTTTACAGCCTAAGATGTTCTCTTTGAAGCATGACTATATGGTCCCTTGTACTTTGGAGACACAGAAATACTGGCTGCCCTGTGTGGTGGCTGGGCAGAAGGTAGAGCATTTAAATATCATTTCTATATGTAGTTAAGAGACGTGCAAGGATTGACAAGTTTTTTTTTTCCACTCACCTTACAGTAGAGTGTGGAGTATTCTTGCTACCTGTGTTAAAAAATATCAGGTTTTGTTTCTCATAGGATTTTTGAGACTAATAATCCATGATTGATCAATCTATCTTCCTTTTTTTGCATATGAAAGGATTTTTTAAAACTCTGAGTCTGTCTACTGCAAAACTATGGCAGTATTCACTTGGACTGTGGACATTTGCTAAAACTCGTATCCAGTTTGGTTGTTCTCACAGCTATTTCTGTTTATAGAATAGTTAAGCTTGAATCATGTGGATGCCTAGAAATGTTGATGATGGTGGCTTCATTGTTGTAGCCAGATTAATTTTGTTAAAAATAAAAGGGCATTAAATGCTTAAAGCCAGCAAAAATGATGGAGTAAGGACCTCCAAAAATTCTCCCCTCCATAAAAGCAAGGAGGAAATTGTCAAAACATGTCAAAATCAACTTTTTTTCAGAACTCTGGAAATTAACCAAAGGTTTACAGCAATCCAAGGAATATTTATTCAAGAGAAATAGCTGAATCTCAGTAAGAACAGTAAGAACATTCTGATTTGCCCATTTTCCATCCCACCCCCCAACTCTGCTATATCCTTGAAAACCAACAATCTACAATCAAGGTAGAAGCACCTGCGTAGAAGCCACTGGAGGAGACAGAGGGGGTTAGAGCTCCTTCAAAGCCTCATTTCCAGAGAATTGTCACTATTTAGTTTGTCTGGTGACTCCCTGAAAGATCTCATTTGCAAGGCTGTCTTTATATTGCCTGAGCAGAGCTCGCTGGGTGTGAAAAGCCTCTTCCACAAGGACATTTATTAAAAAAAAAAAAAAAATCAAGAGGCGGGGCACCTGGGTGGCTCAGCTGGTTAAGTGTCTGCCTTTGGCTCAGATCATGATCCCAGGGTCCTAGGATTGAGCCCCCACATCAGGCTCTCTGCTCAGCGGGAGCCTGCTTCTCCCTCTGCCTCTACCTGCCGCTCCCCCTGCTTGTGCTCTCGTGCTCTTGCGCTCTCGCTCTCTGTCAAATAAGTAAATAAAATCTTAAAAAAAAAAAAATCAGGGGCAGTTGTGGCTGCCTGAAGCAGTGGATAACCATCAGAGCAAATACTAGGCTAACTAAAAACTTAAAAGGAAAAGCTGAGGAATG